GTAGCTCCCACCTTTGGATTAAGGTAGCAAAACTCCCTGTTAAAGCACAAATATTAAGGGTAATAAACCAAGCTATTATTAGCTACTTTATATTAAATATTACTAGTAAGTTATTATTGGCAATTTTGTGTAAAGTAGTAGTACTTTGGCAACAGAAGAATTTATCGATTAGTTCTAGTAGAAATCAGGACCATAAGGGGACTGGACACAAGGCCAGAAGTTTTAACTTGAGGTTTCAAAGATCTGGAGTCTTGGATACTACCCAGATAGGTGATTATACAGGAGGGAAATGGAGGAAAGACCCTGGAGGAGCAAGAGGTTAGGGGACACAGAAAGGGAAAGAGAAGAGCAGAAGATCAATTGTTATTAATTGGCCAAGGGATGAGGGACACTCTTAATCCCTTTCCATTTCTGCCTCACTTCTCTCCTCCTCCTCCTCAGCCTTCTTCTCTTCCATCAGCAGTTAATGCTACTGTCATCCATTGACCTCCAACTGTATGCAGGTGGTGGTGGGGTGAGATACCATGCTCCCAAACAGAATTCTTTTAGGACAAAGACTCTGCCTTCTCCCATTGTCTCCCCCACAACACAGAAGTGTGAACATTCATTCAGTCATTCAGTAAACCTTTAAGAAGTGCCTGCTATGTGTCAGGTACTGTGCTAGATACTACAGATAATGAAAAAAATAAAAAATATATACAAAGTATTTTCTAGTGGAGCTGAAGTGAACTGGAACCTGGAGAACAGGTACTACTCAACAAAGACTTACTGACTGATCTGATGACTTTCAGGAATGTTGCCAAAGTCTTCCTCCTACCTAATCTAACAAGTTAAGGTTGTTATAAGGTCTATTATTAGAAAAGTCACACACACTCATCTACCACATGTCATTACTATTTCAATCTCATTGCCTGACCCTGAACTACTATCAATGGACCCTAGGAGGCTTTTTTTTTAAATAATTGTGGTCAAATTATTATCATTTTTAAAAATACACAAGATTCCAAATTAAGGAAGCTTTTAAGCTTCACACTGTCTCTGAGTTTTTTTTTTCTGTGCCAGGAAAATACAAGCAGTATTTTCCAGACACAAAGAAAAACCAGAAAGGTGGCTTTCCCTTCTACAAAATTCTGTTCTAATTCCTTATCATGGCATGCTGATGGCCCTTGATTGTCAAAAGCTATTTCAGGAAAGTGACTCTGGCAGTGTCAACTACACTGGGAAATATTTGAGAATGGTCCCCAAAGCAGTCTGATGTCTGAGGACAAATATAACTAAGTACAGGGAGAGTTATCACCAATAGTTTGGGCAATAGGTGATGAAGTCTTTGGCCATGGGAACTCAAGCTATCAAGAAAAATCCAAAATAGTCCTTAGTCTTATTTGGACCCCTTCCATAGGGATAGAGGTGGAAAATGGGGGCTTACTGAATAAGTGAATGAATGAATGAATGTTCACACTTCTGTGTTGTGAGGGAGACAATGGGGGAAGGCAGGGTCTTTGTCCTAAAAAAATTCTATTTGGGAGCACAGGATCTCCCACCACCACCACCTGAATACAGTTAGAGGATAATGGATGATTTTCTTAAAGGAAATGAAATGAAAATATAAAAGGAAGTTCTAATTTCTTGAGGAGGCAAACAAAAGATTTGGCAGAGCTGGTTTTATTGTGAAACCAAAGGCTTCAAAAAACATTTCATGGGATACTTGTTCATCTCATCTTATCATGTTCAAGATGCACATAAGCATGTCATGAATTGACATCTGTTGAAAAGGATGAAGGAGCAAAATTCCAAAAGAAGGACGTGGGGAAAATTTTCTAAACCAAGTTAACATATACTTTGATACTTGGTGACTTTAATGGCCACAGAAGAAGATGGGGAAAAAAGAGTGTCAGAAAATATTACTTAGGTTTGTAGAAATGAAAGAGACTTTAGGATTTTTCAGATTTTTAGGATTTTAGGCTACTTTGAAAACTATATGTCATAAATACTTTAAGAGCATAAGGAGGCCCTGGACATGACAAACAACAAACAATAAAATATATACAAAAAAAATCAAATAACCTGTATCTTAATAGACAGGAAAATGACTACTCCTCTGAGAGTCACAGCAGAATCAGTTGTCAAACCACTGATCAGTTAAAGCAACAGTCAAAATCAGCATTAGATTAGGAGAAAGGAGAAAGATGAGAAGATAGCTTTGAGAGCATATTGTCTGACCTCTACAAATAAGGTAGGGCCAAAAAAGGGAATTAAAGAAAAACAAAGATTTTGACTCTAATTATCACCATTTCCTACAAAAGCTTAGCCATTGTAAAGTAGTTGCCACATTGAAGAGGCCAAAGGTACCCAGAAACTGCCTTAGTCAACAAACATATGATGCCTTTGCCAAACAGTATATGGAAGCCAAGGGTAACAAGAAATTAGAATACAAACTCATTTGTAAAACAAGAGGGAGAATAATGGAAAATAACTTGCAACTATCAACTCATAAAGGAGTGAAAAGTAATAGAAGCAAAAGTGAGTCTTCAAAAGCTTGGCATGAGCCCCAGCTGAACCACATCATCCTGAGAGCATTTAGAGGCAGAATTGGCTGTGCAGCAATGAAGAGAAAATGGTACAAATCTTCCAATGTTTCTATAATGATCGATTTTCATCATCATCAGTGACTCCATTTGTATCTTAACTCCTTAGTTCTTGACTACACAAGGAAGTCGAAATGGCATTTAAGACATTCTAGAGGAAACACAATCTTGGAAGCCTCAAAGGACCATTGGTAAGATATTTCAGAGATGGGAAGAAAATCAAAATAATAGAAAAATTCATAGAGCCTTTGACTACCCAAAAAAGACTACCAAAAGAATCCGGATAACTACCAACTCACATGGTTACATTCTCACCTTTATAAAAATCACTATGAGAATAATCTATAAACATACTGAGGATAACCTTTATGAAAATATGAGAAAGGAATCAGCAGACTTTCCGAAGTAGTAATGTACCACAAAATATAGCTCTACAGTCACCCAATTCTCTGAGAGGCAAAGAAAAAAACAAGATATCTTGCTATCTTTTGTGTTTGTTGACTTACACACAACTATGCACATGTGTACACATCTGCATGGACACACACTACACACACACACACACACACACACAGAGCCTTACAGGCCCTTATCTAACAAGGAGTCTCTTAAGTATATGTTATCATATATCATATAAAAGTCTTTGGCAAATGCCAACCACACAGCTAACTCTGTTCAATAGCTCCCTGCTTACAAATGCTGAATGAAGCATAAAAAAGAAAGATGAATGATTGTCAAAGGTGTCCGTCCTATCGAGAAGGATAGCCTACACAAGCTTCAAATGGAAGAGGAGAATATTCCTATAAATGGCAAGGTCCTTCAAATGCAACCATTTGCAGATAATATTGGGTTGATTGTTATCCAGTCCCAGAACATTACAAGAACCCCTCAATGGGAATCATAATTACTCAAAAGACATAGACTTCATCCACATAGGAGAATTAAACAGGTGAAAAAATTGTCTATTATCTAAACAATCCAGTGAGTCCATCAGTCTCTACATTTGAGACAAACACTGCAGAAGGACAAAAATGTTGAGTCCAGAACTGAATAGGAGGGGGAAAGTAGGCTAGATGACATATGGGAAGGTGTGGTACTTTTAACAGTCACAAGCTGCTCCTTAGTTAGAGAACTCATCTTTTAAATACAAATATTCTCTTGGCCATCAAGCTGCAAAGATTACAAAGCTCAGAATATCACAATCTCTGAAGAGCTAAAGTCTCAGATGACAATGAAGAGATGCATTTTGCAGGCAAGTACTCATCATATTTCTAAAAGTGACCTTGCATGTAAGAGATGCTTAATAAACTTATGATGAGTTGACCTTATATGTAAAAAGTGCCATAATGGATATCTTCCAGGAAATGTATGATTATAAAAAAGAGCTAGGTCAGTCATGTGGTGAGAATGAGGGATAATGGATGGCCCAAAGACTACCCTGGTAGTCTTGGAATGTACAAAGAACTAGAGGAAGATCTCTAGCGTAGTAGATAAGAATCATATATTTGAGAAAGGCCTAGAAACTCAACCCCTCTTAATTACCCACTTCCTTATATATCTATGAACTCCCAGAATACAACCTGAAAACACCCCTCACACTAATTTCTAAACAGGAATCCATTACCACAAGTCCTTGGAACACCTTACTGGACAAAGGTCCCGAACTACTGCCTTATACATAGTAGACACTCTAGAAACCTGCTGGATTAAACTGAATCTTGTTAATAGACCTATGGAAACTTCATACCAGAACTCCTAGATGCCTGTGTGATAAGAGAAAGGTGGCTGATTGCTCAAAGAGAAAATTAAGGATGGTGAAAGGAAAGGAAGCTCTCACTCTAGGAAGGTTGCCTATTTTGAAGTAAAAGAACCTGAGGTCTCTCCCTGAAAGTTTTGTTTGGTGACTTACAAGTTATTTCCAAAGGGTGATCTGTTTAAAATAGGTTCCTGCAATGGGCTATCCTAGAGGAAAGGGCAACCCTGATGAACATCCTGGGATGAACCTGGTCATTCATTCATCTCCATCTCAACTGGACTTTGGCTCTCTATGACTCTTTAGGGCCTTTACAAGATCCCATGAGAGAACCTACAACTTCTACCTTTTCTCAACTCAGACCCCAAACAGTGGCTGACAGCATAAAATAGAGGGAAAACAAAAAATTCACCAACTTGACATTGGCCTCATTAATCCAAAGTAAATAGACATGGTATCCCAACTTGTCAGACACTGAAGGAAAGGACTGCCCCAGTTGTAGAGGGCTCCAGGCCTCCAAACCATCTCTTACCCTGATTGGGAAACAAATGAGGATATAGGGAAGAAAGTGAAGAGAGAACACACAGCAAATAGCAAGAGAGCCTTATGCCTGGGAACCTATTCCAAACAGGCCTGGCCAAAGAGACTCCATTCCTCCTTACCTTCAGCCTATTCAAGTATCTTTGTGTGTGCACCACTCGAAGGTCTTCATCAGTGGCTTCTTTGGCCTCCACCATCATGACATCAGCAAGGAAATTTTCTTCTGTAACCAAGATAAACCACACCCTTCACATGTCTTCTAAGAGTCAATCCCAGGGGAAAAATCAGACCTTGCCTTGCCAGCTTAAAGCCTCACTGGTTATACCCTTGAGGCCTTCAGAATCTGCCCCCAGTTCAAAATAGCTATTTTTATACACACACGAATTGAAGTCCAAAGGCTAGGTCCATTGGCTGTTGATTCAATTTAATTCAACATATTTATTAAACACCTACTACAAATGCTGGGTTAGGCACTGGGAATACAATACAAAAATAAATAGTCCCTTACCCTTGAGAAGTTTACCTTCTACTGGAGGATGGTCTTACACTCAGTAAAAATAAGACACTTACACTTTCAATGCCAGGCAGGAGGGACAGGGTAGGTGGTATAATACAATGCAACAAATATTTATTAAGTACCTACTGTGTGCAGAGCACTGTGTTGGGGGACATACAAAATTTCTAGCTAGAGAATTTCAAAATGTAGTGTTGTACAGAGTCTGAGGGGGAAAGTTCCCAACAATAAAAAAGGATCAGAGAAGATTGTTAAGGATGTAGCATTTGGGTGGTTAGAAAGAAGGAGGACATTCCAAGCAACAGTGCTGGCTATTCAGTCAATCAATAAACATTTATTAAACACTTACCATGTGCCAGGTACTGTGCTATTATTGGGAATAGCAAAATTGGGAATACAATTGGGAATACAAAAAAAAAAAATCCAGCTCCTTACTGTCAAGGAGCTTACATTCCAAAGGGTGAAACAATATGTAAATAAGTACATACATATCAAAAAAAAATATGCAAAATAGATGGAAGACTGAGGTGAGGGAACTGTGCAGATCCGTAAACTAGCACAGTGCTCTGTATACAATAGATATTTAATAAATGTTGTTGCAAAATTTGTTATTCAGTTGTTTATAGTCATGTCTAACTCTTTTGTGACCCCATTTGGGGTTTTCTTGGCAAAAATACTAGAGTGGTTTGCCATTTCCCTCTCCAGCTCATTTTACAGATGAGGAAACTGAGGCAAACAGGGTTAAGGGATTTGCCCAGGGTCACACAGCTAGTAAGTGTCTGAGGCTGGATTTGAACTCACAAAGAAGAGTTTTCCTGATTCCAAGCCCAGCATTCTATCCACTGCACAACCTAACTGCCTTGTTGTACAAAACCATACTCCAAATATGGGGGGATTTTTTTTTTAATATGGGGAAGACAAACGGAAAAGAAAGGTAAAGGTCACTGAAAACCAGCATCACCAGCATTTCCCATAGTTTTGCTACAGGATTACTTTGAACATGTCTGTTTCTGAGGTCAGGGAGAAAGTCCTGCTTTTACCTTTCAAAAAATTGATGACTTTCCCCCATTTCCCAGCATCAAATGGATGGAGCTTTTCCAACCCCAAGAACGTGATGTTGTATCTTGGAGAATAGATAATGGGCCAGCAGGTCTTTGACACTTCTTCATACAGCTGGGTGTTGTGAGGCCTTGAGGCACAGACAGAAAGAAAAATGGAAAGAATACTAACTCAGAACATACAGAATCATGTAATCTTTTTTTGTAATAATTTTTTTTAAATTGTATTTAATATTTTATTTTTCCTCAATTACATATAAAAACTATTTTTAACATTTTTTTTAAATTTTGAGTTCCAAATTCCCTTCCAACTTCCCTCCACTCCCTTTTCATTGAGAAGGCAAGCAATTTGATATATGTTATACATGTGCAGTCACATAAAACATAGTTCCATGTAAGTCATATTGTGAAAGAAAACAGATCTTTCCCCCCAAGAAAAAAACAGGAAAAAAGAAAAATTTTAAAAGTATGCTTTGATATGCATTCAGACTCAACCAATTCTTTCTCTGGAGATGGATAACATTTTTCATCCTAAGTCCTTGGGAATTATCTTAAACCACTGTATTGCTGAGAATAGTTGTCATTCACAGCTGGTCATCATGCAATATTGCTGTTACTGTGTGCCATGTTCTTCTGGTTCTGCTCATTTTACTTTGCATCAGTTCATGTAAGTCTTTCCAGGTTTTTCTGAGAGCATTCTGATGATCATTTCTTAGAATAAAATTGTAGAATCATGGAATTTTGAAGCTGGAGTTAGGGGAAGGGGCACTTCAGAAATCACTGGGTTCAAAACTCCCCAAACTCTTCTCATCCCTAGTAGGCAGGCATACCAAGTGCTTCACCAGTCCCTGGCAAAGGCATATGTCAGAACTGGAATCCTCCAAAAGACAGCCAAAATTTCTAAGTTCCATATGACTACTGCCTTTGAAGTCAAGAGGACCAAGGTTCATATCCAGCCTCAGCCACTTTCTAACTTATGTGACCTTGGGCAAGTCACTTGACCTCTCTAAGCCTCAGTTTCCTTATGAGTAAAATGAGGGGGTTGAACTTAATGGCTTCTTGAGGTCCCTTCCCACATAAAATCTATAATCCTATGCTCCTAACAACTGGAAGGTGCCACAAAAATTATTATTCCCATTTCACATTTGAGGATATTGAGACAGAACAAAGTGAAGAGATTTCTCCACAGTCCTTCAGTTGGTGTACGTCTGAGGCAGAATTGGTACCAAGATCTTTCTGATTTGATGATCAATACTGTGAGTGATGCCAGAGCTCAGGTTGTCCTGGTATAATGTACTAAAACTCAGTCGCCACTAGGCCATTTTGAGATGTCAGAGTAGGGTTTTGTTTAAAGTCATCATAAATTGTGACAATGCTACTGCCCCCTCCCCCTTATTTATCTCACAAAGTTTTTATGAAGAAGATACAATAGGTGAAGAGGCACTTGGGGAAAAATGATAATTAAAAAAATTAAAACTACATAAATGAAGAGACTGGAGCTGTTTATCATACCTTTTCTATTACCACATATGGTCCCATGCATACAGGGCTATGTTTGACCCACCTGTCAAGGCTACCTCAGTAGTTCTAACACAAACTAAAGACCAGGTTATTATCAATATCTACATATGAGCAACCAAATGATTAGTGGTGGAAGGGACCTTCGAGGTCATCTGGTTCAAGCCTCTTTTCTCACCAAAGAGAAAAGTGAAGCCCAGAAGAAGAAAGTGATTTCCCAAAGTCAAACAGTAAATTCATGACAGAGCCAGAAATAGAGCCCAGCCTCCAGACTTCCCAGTGCTATCTATGTTCTTTCCATGATGCCACACTGTGACTTTTAAGACTAAAAACTTAAACATATCGGAAAGCTTCGGTGTATCCTGCGGGAATGGAGACGAGTCAGGAATAGAGAGGTCTAAAGATGAGGAGCAGAATGGCTTTGTAGTAAAAGAGATGAATTTGGAGGAAAACTACATTTCAAACCCTGGCTCGAGCTCTTCACTACATGTGACTTTGAGGAAGTTACCTACCTCTTTGAGTTTATTTCCTCTTCTGTAAAATAAGGGGGAATTCTGCTAGATAACCTAAGTTCTCTTCTAGATCTAAAGCTACCAAACTCATGAGCCAGAAGCCCAGGCTGCATGAGAGACCACATCTCTCTCTGGCCACAGCTGCCATATGTTCCCCTCTATCCCGGCCCAGGATCCCTATGGGCCACGGCATCTGCTTTTCCCTCTCTCACTGCATCTTTGGGTCCAGTCACCAGCTGCCCTTTCACAAAGGTCCTGTGAATCCCAGTGCCAACCTCTGGCAAGGGCCACCAGCCCAACCCCCCCCCCCTTGCCCTTTTTGTCTTTCTTCCCATTGACCAGAGAAGGCAGTGGACTTGGGCTGCATTCCCAGAGTCCCTCACTGCCTGTGTCAGGCTTTTCCTCCCAGAGGAGCAGTTGGAGGTGGTTGGGAGTAGAGAGGGGGACTCAGGGCCACTTAACTCCCCAGAGAGCCTCGATACTGGGGGAAAAAAATCACAGCCCTCGGGAGGCGACATGCCTCTGCGGAGGGCAGCCCATAAGATGCAGTGGCTGCAACCCCGAAGCCCACAGCCAGCGACCAGGGCCTGTCACCTAGGCCTGCCACTTCTCGCTGACCCCCGCCCCTGGACCAGCTGTCTGTCCACGTGGTGGCCCCCACCCTTCCCACGCGCGGAAGAGGAGGAGGCGGGGACATCCAGTTCCCACTTTCCGAGGGGAGCTCGTGGCAGCCACGACTGCTATCGGGGGGGGGGGGGGACGGGCCCCGCAACGCCCAGGTACTTGGTCAAACTGCCAGGCGAAGGGACGAAAAGCCTCCCCGCTCCCCCGAACCCTCTGGTCGCTCTCCCTGGACACAGTACCCCAGCCCAGCCCCAGCCCGCACGCTACTCACATCCCCCCGCCGGGCCTGCGGCAGGCCCGCCACCTGCAGTCACCGCCCGGACTTTGTTCTGGGCCAAGCAGAGGCCAGCGGGGCCAGCGCGGGCGGGGGCAGCATGGAGACACGCCCCCTTACGTCACCGAGGCCGGGGCTTGGGAGAGATGCCCGGCCCTTCGCAAGGCTGCATCACAGAAGGATGAAAGCTCAAGTCACGCCCAGTGCTGAGGTAAGGCCGCACCTACCCCCAAGTTTCCCATCCCTTCTCAATCTCTGGAGGAGGGGCTAAAATGAGGCCCCGCCCCCCGTGTGAAATCCACAGTCTGAAGGTTTCCTAGTGGGATTAAAGACACTGGAGGATGGGCCAGCTGCAGATGACGGGTCGGCCTTCCTTCCAGTATGTGCGTCTTCTGGCCCCAGAGAAGCATCGGCGGCTAAAACACTGGAAACCTGTCTCTAAAAATGGATCAAAGGATTTGGAGCTGGAAGTGAATTAAGTCAACATTTACCCCTCGATCTACAGATGAAGAAACAGAGATCGGGAAAAGTGGTGGGACATGAGCAGCGGTCACACAGCTAGCAGAGCAGGGATTCAAATACGGTTTTTCTACTTTCAAATTTAGCACACACTGTGCTATCCAAAACTTGAGTCACAGAATGTTAGTGCTAAAACAGACCACAAAGGCCACCTAATCTAGATCCCTCTTTTTATTTACTTTTTAAGTGAAAATTTTTATATTCTATTTTTTCCAATTACATGTGATAACAATTTTTAACATTCATTTTTAAAATTTTGAGTTCCAAATTCTCTCCCTCCTTCCCTCGTCTCCCTCGAGAAGGCATGCAATTTGGTATAGATTATGCGGATGCATTCAGGCAAAACATACCGCCATATTAGCCAGGTTGCAAAAGAAAACACAGACAAAACACACACACACACACAACACACATACAAGAAAGATAAAGTAAAAAATAATTATGCTTCACAGATCCCTCTTCTTAAAAGATGAAGGAACTGAAGATCAGTATAAGGGGAAGTGAATTGTCTTGTCTCCAGTCACCCAGGCAGGGATAGCTTCTACCCAGGTTTTCCAACTCCCAGTTCAATAATTCGTTACAGTGGTCCCCACAGAGTCCTGTGGAAGGGAGAACTCTGTATCCCTCCTTACCTCAGGGCTCTTTTCTTCCATGCTTAGCAGAGGGCCTTGAGGTGTAGGGAGAGGGGATAGGGAGGAAGGGAGCTGGATTGCAGGGCTGCTGATGTTGGGGAAGAGGAGGAGGAAAGGCCAAGCCACTCAGAGTGTAGGGGTAAGCCTTTACTGGTTGTGGGCACTATCTTGAAGAGGGAATCAGATGCAGGAGAGAGGAGGTGAAACAGAGGAAGAGGAGCAACCATAGGAGTTAATTATATGGGAGGAGAGGGAGAGAGAGGTCAAGTAAGGGAAGGAACCATAGAATTTAGTCTTTGTAGCTAGAGGAGCAATATTTATAAAGCACTAATTAGGCCCAAACCTTAAACCCCTGAATTTTTGCTTTACCTCCATCTTAGTGGTAGCAAGACTAGGGAGGAAATAAGGAAGGAAATGAGCATTTATACAGCACCTACTATGTGCCAGGCACTATGTTAAGCATTTTACAAATATTATCTCATTTGATCCTCACAACCACCCTGGAAGGTAGATGCTATTATTATCCCCATTTTACATCAAAGAAAACCAAGGCAGTTAGAGGCTGTGACTTGCCCAAAGTCACACCATGAGTATCTGAGGTCAGTTTTGAACCCAGATCTTTTTGACTCTAGTCCCAGGGCTCTATCCATTACACCACCTAGCAACCTCTAGTAGAGTATAATAGAATAGAAAAACCACTGGATTTGCGATCCCAGGACATGATTCTACCACTTACCACCTGTGTGACTTTGGGCAACTTATTTTACCTCTCCAAGACTCAGTTCCTCATCTGTAAAAAAAGAGAGGACTGGATTAGACATGCTCTGGGGTTTCTTGGACAAAATGGCTTCTGTGGTCACTTCAAACTCTAACTCTGTGATCTTTCCAATCATTCTCTCATGGACATATGTTTCTTTTACATGGATTTCTCTTAAAGTTGGCATCTTTTGGCCTTTATAATAGTGCATCCTGGCGGATTGTGCCCAATAAGTCATACTTTTACTGATCTTTCCTCGAAACCAGGAGTCAGGATATATTAAGCATAAAGAATTAAAATAGACATCGATCATATTAGTGGAATTTGTCCTGGGACATGACCCTGGGTCACATGTAGAACAAAATTATTTCCTAGGAAGAGTGCCTTGGAGACAATCAATTTACAGAAGAGAGTAGGGTTGATGTCAGCAGGCTGCTCATTTAGGCAATTATTCAGAGGAATTCCCTAATTTGTTCAATTAGGTTGTAGGGACGTGAACCTTTAGCTGGGTCTTATGATTACATTTCCCTTTGGGGGCTGTAGATATGCCTATTTTTTTTTGTTTTTTTGCTGAGGCAATTGGTGTTAAGTGACTTGCACCCAGGGTTACATAGCTAGTAAGCGTCAAGTATCTGAAGCTGAATTTGAACTGAGGTCCTCCTGACTCCAAGGCAGGAGCTCTTTCCACTTGGCCACCTAGCTGCCCCTTGGATATGCCTATTTAGAGATTAGCAGGTTGTCTATTGGGATGTATTCCTTGGTACTTCATGGAGAGGGGATCTCACTGGTGAACGTTGATTTGGTTGAGTGTTGTGGGTAAGAGTCACCCCTTTCTTTGCTCTGGGTCTGCAGGTGGGGATGGGTAGAGGAAAAAGGGGAAAACCTGTATGGGCATTGAGGCCTAAAAGCACTTGGGTATTGCATGTGCTCTGACCCAACAGGCTTGAGAGTTCCTGAATTCTATCATTTTAGATAAAAGGAGGAATGTCCTCGTTAATGTCCACTTCCTAGAGAGTTTAGGGACCTAGTTTTCTTAAGCAAGGAGGGGAATTAGTAAGCATCGCCATCCTTAGGTCTTCTCTAGCAATCTCAAGTTCAAGGATCTGACCTCCTAGATGAAGAAAGAGGAGTTCTTTGGCAGCACCATCCTCTTGTGGAAAATAAGATTATACATGTGGCCCTTGAACCCAAAGACAAGCAACAAGGGACCAGATCCACAACATAGGGAAGCAAAAGACCTAGACTTCGTCCTCCACAATATTATTGTGTAACAGTCAGTCAATAAGCATTTTTAAAGTGCTTTCTCTGTATCACAGTGAATTATTCAAATGTTTCCGGTCCAATGGGAAAGGTTCCCTCTCCAGCAATCCTAAATTGACTTCCTTCATGGGAATCCCAGAGCTCAGGGAACTATCACAATACCATAATTAGTGGAGGCTTGCATATCTCTCAGTGGTGTGAGTGAGATTCACCAGAATCTTTGGGGGTTACTCTTCTAACAACCTTAAATAAACTCCCCTTCCAAGGGGATTGTAAGCCATAGGGGAGTGCTGTGAACCTGGAGAACTGTATAAGACTATGGGGAAAGTGGAACTGAGCAGAGGGAGGAGAATCCTATCAATTCTTTATGGGCTCCTGTGAATCTTCTGGTTTTAGGTTTAGGTTTTTTGTTTGGGGCCGGGGAGGTTGGCAAAGGTTGCATTTTCTGTAGGGTAGAATAATAATGTCATCTTGGGCAAGTCATTTAACATATCTCTACCTTATTTTCCTCATTTGTAAAGTAAGGATGATAATAATACCTACCTCCTAGCTTGTTGTGAGGGGAAAGTGATAGATTTGTAAAACTCTTTGCAAACCTAAAACCACTATATAAATGCTATTTTTATGATTATTTCCTAAAGGTCACACAATAAAAATAATGCTATATGATAATATTATTATTAATAAATAATAAATAAGTATATAAGGCAGAATTTGAACCTAGGTCTTTCTGATTCTAAGTCCAGTGTTTTATCCACTAAACCACACTGTCCATAATCAACCAATAAGTATTTACCAAGAGCTTACTATATACAAGTCACTTAATTTCCTTGGACCTCAGTTTTCACATCTGTAAAATACAGAAGTGGGACCATGTCTCTCTAAGGTCCCTTAGCTCTAATTCTATATGGAAGGAAGATAATTCTGGCAAGGCTATTAAGAATGAATTAAAGAAATAGAGGAGAGAGTGGAGATGGGAAGAACTCCTAGAAGGGTTGGCAGTGATCTATTAAGTTTAGCTTAGTTAGGACCATGGAATAGTGACATTTTCTGTTTAAATACTTTACCTCAAATTAGTAAGTAATGTGAAAATTCCAAGCCCTTGGGCATACTAGGCATTGAGGTGGTGCAGTGGATAGAGTGCCAAGCCTGGAGTCAGGAAGACTCATCATCCTGAGTTCAAATCTGGCCTCAAATACTTGCTAGCTATGTGATCCTGGGTAAGTCACTTAACCCTATTTGCCTCAGTTTCCTCATCTGTAAAATGAACTGGAGAAGGAAATGGCAAACCAGTCCAGTATCTCCACCAAGAAAACCCCAAATGGGGTCATGGAGATGTTTTAGTCAGGGAGACTTTCCCAGTGCCAATAAATAAAAGCCGCAGATCATTCTGTGTAGAGAACTGTTCGTGCGAGACTCCGTCTGTGAGAAAGGTTGGCCCCATTGGAGACAATTCCAAAGGGGAATGAGTGATGGTGTTGTCCATATCCTGCATCATACTTCTCTAGGACGAGTTCGCTGATGAACTACCTTCACTGTATTCTGAGATCACTGGAACACCTGACTCCCAGGCTCAAAATGGCCCCATTGCCCTCTAGTCCTCCTTGAAGAGCATGGTATATTAAGATTAGCATTGTGTGGTGATTCATGATCAAAGAACTGCTCCTAACTCACTGTGGGTCCGTAGGTCAGTGACTTCATTTTTCTGGACCTGATTTTCCCTATCTATAAACTGACACATTTGTAGTATAGTATAATACCAGATGTTTATTTGTTTATATACATTAAGTTAAAGTTTACATACTTTAAGTGGGTATTATGAGTATTATTCCAATTTTACAGGTAAGGAAACTGAGACTCAGAGATTAAATGACTTAACCAGGGTTAAATAGCTAAGAAGTATCAGA